AAAAATTAAGGTGTTTCTACATGTCCTCCAAGTGTCCTCCAAGTGTAAAAACAAGTAAAAGCTGCTATTGAACTTGTTCATGTAGAATTTCAATGAACGTCTTTTTCACTGAAACATAATTTGCCTCAAATCGAGTTCTTTTAAAATATTCTTTCATTTTTCAAAAAGCTGAAATCACTTTGAGTTTAATTTTGAGGAGATTCCCATTCAACATTGATAAAAAAGAAATATTCTATTACATATTCTATATACACCGTATAACAGGGTTCTTGGCCTTTGAGGGCCACTTCTGGCCCATGAACTCTCCACACCTTTATGTCCAATTTGCTTGAACAATTCTATTCCAAAGATCTCTGCCTGCTCCTAATCTACAAACCCAGTAAGGTAATTCTCCTCCTAAAAAACATGACTTACACTGGGAGTATTAAATTTGTATACCATCATTCCAACACTACAGATTTAAATTATACTGATTTTGCTGTTTCCTGCAAACAGGGTCCTGTTTATTGCTGCTGAGTTTGTTTACATTGTATAGAAGAAATATATACATGTTTCTGGCTGCAAAAGACAGAGGACCTAAATGTAAGAGTAGAAATCTATGGAAAGACTGAGGTTTTGTTTGACTTTATTCATAATGTCAGTTCACATTTGCCTTTTATCTCCATTCCCAGTGGCAGGTATTTCATGTTGGCTGTCATTTGCCTCAGGTGTTGCCACAATCTGCTGCACTGAATATAACCTACATATTCATGATATATATTATATGTTGTCATATTATATATTATATATGTTGGTGGAGAAGGCCTGGCTCTCAGTCTCCGCTCTAATTCATCCCAAAGGTGTTCTATTGGGTTCAGGTCAGGACTCTGTGGAGGCCAGTCAAGTTCATCCACACCAGACTCTGTCATCCATGTCTTTATGGACCTTGCTTTGTGCACTGGTGCACAGTCATGTTTTTACGAGGCGGGGCCCGCTCCAAACTGTTCCCACAAGGTTGGGAGCATGGAATTGTCCAAAAATTTTTTGGTATCCTGAAGCATTCAAAGTTCCTTTCACTGGAACTAAGGGGCCAAGCCCAGCTCCTGAAAAACAACCCCACACCATAATTCCTCCTCCACCAAATTTCACAGTCGGCACAATGCAGTCTGAAATGTACCGTTCTCCTGGCAACCTCCAAACCCAGACTCGAATTATGGTGTGAGGTTGTTTTTCAGGAGCTGGGCTTGGCCCCTTAGTTCCAGTGAAAGGAACTTTGAATGCTTCAGGATACCAAAAATAAACACTCTCCTCAACCTTGTGGACAGTCTTCCCAGAAGAGTTGAAGCTGTAATAGCTGCAAAAGGTGGACCGATATCATATTGAACTCTGGGTTAGGAATGGGATGGCACTTCAGTTCATAGTATGAGTCAAGGCAGGTGAGCGAATACTTTTGGTAATATAGTGTATGTCAGAGTTCTGTTCCTACAGTGTGACATTACGTTATTTTGTCCAATGTCCAATAAAAGCCTAGTAACATTCAAACACAGACACACAGATCAGCGTTCATTATACTTGCAGAAGCTTTGACGTGACATAACACCTTTTTATTGAGCACATTTTATCAGGACGTTCAGCAAGAATTCATCACCATCATTACCAACACTATGACTATTTCCACCACACAACTGACTGTACAGGCTTTTTGTTCTCTGTGTGTTTGTGTGTGTGTGTTTCTGTGTGTGTTCACAAGCAAAACACATGGGCAACAGTATGTTATGTTCCGCCTGCTCACAAAGAAAGTTTTAGTTGCATAAAACAGAACATTTCCAGTTCTTAATTGCTTTATGTGCTTGGCGATACACCAGTCTCTAATATTATGATGAGCATTTTAGGCATACAAACAACATTTCAACAAAACCCTTTGTACTGAAACTTTAAGGATTTTTTTTTCTTCTGTCCCTTTTAGATTAATTACAATTGAAAACATTCACAAAACCACTTTTTTCTGCTTTTATTAGAGCAGCCAAAACCCTCCAAACACGAGACAAATAGCACAGAATAATAATTATAAAAAATGATTCTAAGAAACAGACATGTTGCAGTCAGCAAAATAACTTCATAACAATAATAACAATCTTTAGGGGCAAGGTGGTCATAAAATAACTTCTATGATATTTTAGCTCTTTATCTGACACTGTAATGTTATAGTGCTGTAAGAAAAGACGGTGGGGTCAAATGTGGACAAAAACACTCCTTAAATGGCATTTGTCTCCAGCCCCAAACTCAGCTTATCATTCATGTTAAAACACAGGAAAAAAAATCTTCTCATAACATGGGTGATTTTTGCTCATGCAACACACAAACTTCCTTAAAATGTATTTCTAGGGCCAAAAATAAAGCAGCAGAGAGATCCTATAAATGTTAGCTGCCATATTTCCAACTTCAGGCCTATGAGAGTAGATAAAGATCGTTCCCTTCTTTTGTTTGAACCAGGGTTGGAACGTGAACTCAGTCAGAGCCTCCCTACTAAGACTAGAATCAACACTTGCACAGATCACTGGGAGTCTTAGTGGCCGATGTACGTCATTTTGCATTTTGACAGACCCATGCAGCTTCTCAATTATCAGGCCTTCAAAAAAATTAGAAAGAAACTGTAGAAGGTAAATACCGTCTCTGACACAGCAGATAGCGTTGCTTATTTCTTTCCAGCAGCTTATTCACATTTTTACACACATTTTTTTTCTGCATTTCTCTCAATGTAATTTCATCTTACAAAAAAGTAAAGAAAGAAGCACTTCTAGAGACCAAAAGTTTAAGACTATCACGTACAGTCTAGGCAGCATAGAAAAGGAAAGTTGGCTGTAGAGTCTATTTTACATTAGGTCACTTGAATACGAGAGAGAAAGAAAGAAGTCAGTGATTGTCGGTCCCTCGTTTCACCGAGGTGTCCGTTCATACAGCGGTTGTTGTTGTTTTTTCCTTCTTTATTTCCTTGGTTGGAGCCTGGTCCTTCACGCTGCGTTCACAGTTCACAGATCACTCCAGCCGTGTGTCGACAAGGCTTCATCCTAACAAACATCCCTCTCCCAGCTTCTTCCTATAACCGTCAAAACTTCACCAACACCCATCTTAAACCAAGTCATTATTTTTCTCTTTTTCTTTTTTCCAAGAAAGCAACCACAGCGGGTTCTGTACTTGTTTGACATCAGAGGCTCTCAGTCTGTGTTTGTTGTTTTGTTTGTTTTTTTGCACAGAGAAAGTGTGTGATGAGATTTTTGAGTGTGCGCTCAGTCGGTGCAAACTCTACTCGGACTGGACTTCAGGGATGGATGAGCCTTAATCGTCAGTGCCACAGTCACTAACCTTGCATTTGTTCTCCAAAAGAAGATGGTGGCGTTGTTATGTGTCAAATTGAATTGAGAAAATGTGACTTGTGTGACATCCATCCCTGCTGTAGAGTACATTGGGTGTTAGAATGGGGATAAGTAGAGCTGGCATGAAAGGAAGCCTGACCAAAACAAAACACACAAAAAAAAAAAAAAAAAATACACGCAGTCAAAAATTATCGTACACATTCGCAGGATATAACAAATTTAACAGGCATCTGCTGTTAAAAAGGCAGCCTTAATATAGAAAGAAATGTACAAAATATCCCATAATTTACAACAAAATTAATAATAATACTTGTTTTTAATGTTCACACACATTAAGACCAGTGCTGTTGTAAGAAGAAACAAACAGAAAACAATAAATGAAAAATGTACATATCTTGGTGAAGCTGTAGTTATTAATATTATTATTTTTATTTTTAATCTCCAAGAAGTAAATGATGCACCTGGTAAATGTCAGAGCAGTTTCTCTGCATGCACGAGAGCCTGTTTGTACAGAGTGTGTTACAAGATACGTCACGGTAATGGTTCTGCATTACAGAGGTGGTGCATTATTGAGTTTATTTTCACTGTAAGCTTTTGGTGGAGTGCCAGTAATATGTTTGTGTGTCTGTGTGTGTGTGTGTGTGTGTGAAGGTAGCCTTAGGAATGTGATGGGAGCATGAAGTTGTGGCTTATGGAACATCTGCGGGCCACAGCGATGATGGGTGATCACTCTCACTCTCCCCCTGAGGTCTTTCACATCTCCTCCTCTTCCTCCTCATTTTCACGATCCATTTGCACCTTTACTACTACCACTGCCTTCTTGTTTCTTCCCAGTTGCCTCTGGGTTCTGCCCTTGCTCTCCATTTCTCCTAGTATCCATTATTATTACATCTTCTTCTTCTTGTGTTTCCTTTCTGTTGCTTCTCAGAATTGCTCCTGTTTTCTCCTCCTTCACCTCTCTTCTTCTTTTTACTCCATCTCTCCTTTTAAGCCATAAAACAATAAGTCTTGAATGTCTGTGAGGAGACTGTGCTAATGGGGCCCATTAGGGTGTAATGAAATATACATTACACCATTACAGAGGATGGGGATGGGCTAAAGCACTGCACCGCTCAAATAATAAAACATGCACAATTCAATTTCCTTCTTGACTCGTTTTGNGTGGGGAGGATAAGGTATACAGCGTTTCTGTGTGTGTGCTCCTCCAGCACAGATGTGGTTTTCAAGGATGTCTGAGTGCTTGAGAGCCTTGATGATTTAAATGGGTTGACCAGATGAACCACACCTTCTACAGTGCCGCTGCCCACACATCCAAACGTGATCCGAACACTCAAAAGCCCGGCCTCCCAAGCAGCCTCCCATTCGCCGGACAGCTGCGGACAAATGAATCAATTGACCTCTGACACCGGTGCTTGACATCACATGTGAGGCATCTGTCACCTTGACAGAGGCTGGCTGGTTGATCGTCACCATGTTACACTTTTTTTTTTACTGTATCACTCCTGGCCTAAGCAAAGTAACATGTAGTACAACGCAAATCCAAGGCAGTGGATGTGAAAAAGTGAAAAATGAGTGCATATATCCGTAAAATCATTTATATTAGTTGTCTTGCATTATCAATCAGTATTTTTGTTACTTTTTTGTCACTTTTATATTCATTATTAAGCTACAATGTTGTACAAAAGCTCAACTTTTCTGTTTTTTTTTTTTTTTTTAATACCACAGCATTTTAAAGCCTCAGTTGGCATTACATTGTTTATTATATGGTAACCAGTAAATCTGACCAATCAGAAACCCAATCTTTTAATTTTGTACAGATCAGATTTCTTTTTGTTCATTTTTGGTTATTAGTATGTTCCTGCTAATCGACCATGTGTTAACCTGTGGGCATATTTTTTAGTATTCATGTGCAATTTGAAGAGAATGAAAGAACAAAAGGACCGTATGATAGAGGGGCTGGAAAAAAAAACACAATGTCTTTATGGCTTGACATTTTGGCAGAGCCATTTCTTCTAAAATGTTGCACAGTCTCATATTTACACACACAAAAGCATAAGCTTCTGGAAATCCTGTAAAGTGAATCCCTCGGTCTAGATGTCAGGGAAGGAGGACTTGATGAATTTAAAATCCTCTTCATCAGGTGTCCTCAAACCCTGGATGGATTCAAAGCATTTGAAAAGAAGCAGCAAGCCTCTTTTCCAAAGCTAGTCTCATTACTCTTGGTAAATGTCTCTTCAGGTAAGAAAGAGGGAAAGACTATGGATGCAGGAAGGAGAGGAAATAGGTGGGAAGGAGAGAGGGGTGACTGGGGTGGAGTTGGAGATGTGTTTGATTGCCTTGAAGAGTTCGATAATAGCTTCAAATCCTGTACAGCGGCGTCTTGCACCTGAACGCCCTTAGCAGGTGACACCCATGTCCATCCTAAAGTACACACTAGAACCTTAAATGCATGTAGACACACTAAACAGCCTCACTTCAACATATCCCTGTCCTCGCCCTCCTCACACACTCACACTCAAACAAAAAAGCTCAAAAAACTCTCCTCTGTCTATGTTCAGCCCAGTATATCCAGGTATACAGGTGAAGCCTTGGCTAGGTTGAGGAGCAAACCGTGGATTTCTTTTATGTTGAGTCTCATGTGTGGTTCTCTTTGCCAGCAACCCAGCATCAGGTCATACACTTCTTTAGGACAGGTCCTGGGGCGCTGCAGCACCCTGCCCTGGGTTATACACTCAATCACCTACAAAGTCAAACACAAGGAGAATAAAATGAAAAAGCTGAATCAATCAAAGTGGTTTTAACTGATTACGTTCAGTAGGGAAGTGTAACAAAATTAAGGTGATAACCCCCCATAATTAAATTGCAAAACATGTATCAGATAAAAGTTATATATCGCATTATATTACATGCACAAGATGATTCACTTTATATTTTACCGTCAATCCACTTATCATTGCTCTAATTAAGGAATATCAGAACACAAGTGACTTAAAGCGACTCAAAGAGTCAAATATGAAACCATCAATACGCAGTGGTTATTTGGACACACTACAACAGGCATGCCCAAACTGTTCCTCAAAGGGCCGTGGGGCTGCAGGTTTTTGTTCCAACCAACCAAGAGCAGTTCCCAGCTATTTTCCCTGACTATCTTACATTAAATATATACCATCCACACAATTAAACATTTTCTTTAAATTTCGGGAGCAACGTCTTCACCTGAACATATACCTCGATAAAATTGACTCACTGTCTCAGCATGTATGTTAATATGTTTTCTTTTATTCAGTTTATGTGTAGATGGTGGAAATATGGTTTAGGAAAAGGCTTTATCAACCAAGAATAAGACATTTTCTTACACAAAGAAAAAAAAGGAAATGAAGACATGCCAGCAAATACTGTACACTGCACACAGTTTAATTTACATTTTTGTTTACTTTATTGGTTTGTAAAGATGAAGTTTTGTTCCTTCACCTATGCAAATTAACCAAACCCATTACCACTTAAACCTACTTGGAAGTATTATCCAGATAAAAATGTTTAAGTTTGCTTTTGTGTAACTAAAAAATAAAATAGTTTGTGAATTTCAAAAAAGTGCAATTCATTTGCTTTATTTATTAAAGGCGAACAAGCATAACCTAATGACAAGGTCTGGTGGGACTTTTTTTTCTTCAAATAGCTGCAGCATCTTTAAAAGAAATAGATTTATTATCCTGTGATGTATTTCTTTTTATTAAATTACAATGTATATTGTAATTTAAATTATGCTACTTTGTAATCTTTACTGAATACAAATTAGCAGATTCTATTAGCACTGCAAACACTGTATTCCAAATCAGTTTAAATCCATTTATAAATCTGTAACACATTTTTCATTAGGATTTTCATTAGCAGTGTAATTAACATAACTAATCATCCAATCTCCACTGATCTGATATCTTTCTGCAAATCATGCTATTGCCTCTATCCTGTAGCTGCTAACAGAATTGGTATATGATGGATTTTTAGTCCTGAAACAAATATGTATATCCTATTTCAGAGATATCCAGACATCATACTCAGGTCAGAGGTTAATGAACTGTGAATCGGCAGATATCTTAAGATTTTAAATGGAAGAGTTGAGGCTCAAAGGTCAGATTCAGAGATAACCAGGTCGAGTTGGGAAAAACGTTCACCTCTGACATGAGGACAAAGCTGTAACTGGAGTGGAGGTCATGAGGAAGTTCATATATGAGGTTAAGGTTAAGGTGAGGGTTGAAAGGCTGTGACACAGCAGCTTTCTGGAAAAATGGGTCAAAACTATGAAGTAAGTTAAGGATGGTTTGTGAAGAATTAATCAAAAGCAAAAGTATGAGCATGCTGCTAACCTATGTTTGTTCACACCGCTGTTTAAACCTCATGTTGTTTGAGAAACAATTGTGAATTCAGTATAATCATAACATAATTAACTATAAATAACAGTATTAATGTTTTTACCCTTTGCTTTTATTGGATACATCTCATGTGTGATTACATTTTTTAAAGAATTATAATAAAACATGAAGTGTTTGTGTATGTTTTTATTTTGAAAATTCATCAAGCAGGCCGGATTTACACCCCAAGACCGCCGGTTTTGCCCTATGGCCCATATGTTTGACACCCCTGTCTTAAAGGACGAAAATCCTAGACCCATGTAAAATAAATGTACACAGCCCTTGACTTCTGAAAAGAATGAAGATGAAAGGACAAACAAAGGCAGTACATTTCAGACTACAATTTTATAAAATTTCATAGATTTAGTGTGAGACAGATTCTTCTTTCATTCTTCTCAATTTACAAATGAATCACATTTAAAGTCAAACTGTGCACTAACATACAATACTCTGTGTAAAGAGAGAGTATTTGAAATACGCTATAGTAAGGATGTAATGTAATCTATGTTTGATTAAACAGCTAGGTTTGTGAGGCGGCACAGTGTGCCAGACTTTAACAACTGACATCCTACAAATACTTGAATGAAGACTGTAATTTTATTTATGGGAAAATCACATTTTCTAAATCAGCCGTGATGACAGCAGTGTCTTTGTGGTGAGCACAGCAAGAGCAGCAAAACCTACTTACAGTTTTTTGCACTTACTTTAATGTTTGGAAAGTTCTTTCAGTTGTGGATAAGTATTTCTGCAATTACCTCATTGTTGGAGAGCTGGTACCAGGGCTGTTTTCCGTAGGTGAATATTTCCCAGAGAACAACTCCGAGACTCCAGACATCACTTTCAGTGGTGAACTTTCTGTACATGATGCTTTCAGGGGGCATCCACCGAATCGGTAGCATGGTGTGACCCCCGACCTTTTTTAAAAATACACACCAAACACAGGAAGAGTTAGCGCACAGCTATATAAACAAAAGAGACATATATTGTCCTGTATCAGTTTTTGACTAAAATGATTACACAATCATTTACATTTCTCATAAAACGAAATATTCCGAAAATTATTTAAATCTAAACTTGAGGAGTTGTAAGTCTTTAAATTACAATTACACTATATTTATATATATATATATATAGATTAAGTGTTGTGTTTCAAAATAAGGTGTAGTGAACATTTAAACAGGTGTTATTACAACAAGACAGAGGCTAAGTTAGAACTGTCAGCTCAATGCTTTCCTGCCTTGATAGTCAAGTTAAGGCAGGATAATTTACATAGTGTATTTCAAAACAACCTAGGCTGAGCCAATGTGCTATACCTCAGCACTGACATAAATGAAACATAAAACATTGTACCAGTAACATAAAGTAGATCTGTGACAACAAATTATTTAAAAGAAGACAAAGAGATAAAATTTAAGAGAGATTTATAAACCTCAGCAGAAACAGAGGCAGAAAAAATGACAATCAGGTTGGCAGAACCATTACGAAGATACCGATTAGAAGAATAATGATAATGGAATGGAATTGGTGAGCCCGTTTAAGAATAGCTATAATGTGTTCTGTTTTTCAACACAGTATATTACAAACAAATTGAGTTCTAAACCAATTAAATTGTTTGGATTGGACTCTTAAGTTCACAACACATTGGACACCAGGTACCAGTGTAAGGCCCAAGGGGGCAGATGTGGCCCGTTCAGCTTTTCAATCCAGTCCGCCAAACCTTTCCAAACCGTATAATTTATTTACATTATCGTTATATTTCTGCCTTTTCTCTGCATTACCCACGTTTCCTCAATAGATGGCGTAGAAAATGATAAAAGCATTTCAGCATTTTAGCCCTTATGCATGACTTTTACCTGTCATTTATCTTAATTCACATGAACGCTCCCCCTGTTCAATTTTAGGACAGTTGTGGCCCACAAGTAAAAATGTCTGGTCTAAAACCAACTCCAAGAATCTCAGTCAAAATTAATTTGATCTTTACAATGAAATACATTGGCGATGGACACACTCCTGTAAAAATAATTGCCTGCTCATCAGTTACCACACATTCTCCCATTAACCTTTCATTGAACTAATTTGGTCATTTCACTTGATCATCACGATCTGCATCATCAAATGTGTCTTCAGCTCAGTATGTGCTGCTATCAAATGCAGTCATCTCTCTGCTCTCTCTCAACAGGAAAATGAAGTACGTCTAAATGAGATGGAAATTAAATATTGTTCTGCTATCTTTACAATATTCTCCCGTGTAATCTGTTGGCTTTTTTGCTACATACCTGAGTCGCAGACGTTTTTTCTGGCGGCTGATAAGCATTTCCCTAGAATTTGATGAGTATGAGTGATGATGAATATTTCATTGATCAGTGTACTTTTTTTTAACCACATGGTGGAGATGAGAGTGCACATGAATGAGGCCAGCAGGTTTAAGTTTAGCAGATTTGGGGACAGCTACTGATGAGTGGGGAGACTATTTATCTTATAACATGAGGGTAGTGGGTTCAGTTCATAACATTTTCCTCTTTTGGCAGCTTTGCCTTTTATAGGTATGCATCAAAGCTGGACTGGAAAAAGCTGGAGGAAACACAGAAAAAATGTCTGTTCCTTCGCTAGATAGCCTGTAAAGATATCTATAAAGATAGCTAAATCCACCCATATGTCTGTCCGATTGCCTATCTGTCTGTCTGTCTGTTCATCCATCCACCTATCCATCCGTCCATACATCTATCCACTGTGTCTAATTTCCTAGCTAGCTAGGTAGATTAATATTATTAACATTTAATTTCTGTGGTTGCTACAGCATTCTATTCCTTATAAGTTTTTCTTGTGTATGTGTGTTATTTGTACCTAGAGTAAGGGTTAGAATCATGGGTCATGGTGAAGGACTATAGCAGATGTTGTCAAACCTTGACAATAAATGGGCCATTATTTTATTTCACTACTGAATATGTTCACAAAGAGCCACAAGTACGTATGTTTAGACACAGGCTATAGAGCTGTGTGGTTTATTGTTGTGGATAATTTGTTGTTGTTAAACCTGTATTACCACAGAAATAACAAAAATAAATAAATAAATGCAACGATCCATTTGACCACAATATCATTAAATATTTAGTACTACCATACCATTACCATATTCACATAAATGCTGAATAACTGTGAGCCACATCTATGAGCTGCATGTGGCCCTAGAGCCACAGATTGCATACCAGCAGACTAGGGAATACATGTGTATGTGAAGAGCTGACAAAATATGCACACACGCAAAAAAAAGATGTGTGTGTGTGTTTGTGTCCCTTAGGAGTATGTGCACGTGTTCCAACACAATTTAGCAGCAGTAACAGAAGAGCTGTGTCTCTTCCAAAGCGTATTTGAAGGAAAGGAAAGAGAGGAAATGAAGAGAGCAGAGGAACGCCTTAAATTGGACAATGCTGTTGAAGGAAAAAAGCTACAGAAATAAAAGACGGCACAATTTACAGCTAAGCATGATTCCGAAGAACAACTGTATGAATTTGACACTGTTATTTGTTCATTTCTGTCTCTGCAGTCACTGATTTCCGCTATTCTTTGTTGTTTTTGTAGACTGATATTGTCTCTGTTTCTCTACCCTACATCTACAGTATGTAACTGCTCTTGTTTCCTCATCCTCTCTTCCTTCCTTTCTCTCACCCTTTCCCTGTCTCCCTTGCACACAAATTCATAATTGGAGTGGGTTCACCACTTCATGTATTCAAAAAGAAGTGTCACAAAGACACAGAGACAAAACAAACAACTACTGTAACTGTCCCTGAGATTATAGTATCCATAGCAACTGGACAGTTTAAAAGACTGTATTTTGGGATGTGATAAGGGAGGGGCCTATGTGTCTAAACCTACCTATTCCACTTTTAGTGCTACACACACAGGCGAGAGTCTACCTTAATTCCCCTCTGTGTTGCCATGGGAACAAATATCCCTCAATTATTTTTTCTTCAAATTCTGCTTTGTATGTGCTTTCTACAGAGGAAATAAAAACGGTTTCATGTCCATTAAAATAAAATGAAACAGTTGAGACAGATTTTTTTATATAATTTCTTTTGCTCAAATATTTTTATTCAAACTTATGCAGGTATTTAACTCGTTAGAAATAAGAGTTCAGCTAGTTTATTGGTTGATTGTTTGCTGGTGCTGTTAGATTGCAGTTAGGCAATTATTAAGAAGCCCCATTGAACCAATTAAAGTTTGGGTGGTGGGTATTTTTGACTGAGCAACACATATTAAAGAGTCGTCTATTTTGATTAACTTAAGTACAGGGTAACCTGTGCATTTTGGTCCTGGAATAAATACATAAAGAATGACTACACCAGGAATTTGAATTGTTTAAGAAATATTGATTGTTAACAATTTGAACTAGTCATACGTAACCCATCATGTAGTTACTTAATTTAATTATCTTTTTTATTCTTTTAATGTGTTGAAAGTACCATCATCATGGTGTTGTTCTGGTGTGTTATCATGCAGTTACTGGGACAACAGAGCGTTTACTGTATGTCGACCCATAAAGCCTCACAGAGGATTAGATTAATGTATTCTCTCTCACAAACACATGCATGCATTAGCACACACACACATATTCACTCCCCAGAGATCCTTTAGCTGCTTTTTCACTGTCCTCTTTTCACTACCATCTGTATCAGCACCACTCAGTAAAACAGGCACACGTGATCATTACAGTTGGAAAAAAATCCCTTTGATGGATGCATACATTTAATTGCCTTTCATTCTGTACACACATCCTGAATATACACATTCACCCTGGTTATTTTTAATTAGAAGTACACACACCACTCTTCTCTGTTCTTACAGCATCAGTGACGTCACTGCACTCTGGTCTTAAATCCCCTGTTCTATTTCCTTACACATATGCACACCCAACCACCACCACCCCCACACACATACACACACTCATACACACACACAATTTGTGGGGGAAGCGAGGGCTCTGAGTCCTCTATGACTCATTGATGCTTCTGTCTGACGTAAGAGCATGACAAGCTCCTCATACAACCAAACCATTTTCATAGTCTTTTTGTGGCACTGGCAAAAAAGTAGGGATGACTGTGTTTTATTTCCCACCATTCTGTCCCCCTCCATTGTCTTGCGCTGCATCTGTCTGTCCGTCTGAGCCGTTGTGTTTTTGATATTCTTCTTTGTTGTTGGGTGAATCCACAGCTCCACTGGGTGTTTGTTTCTTTTTGACTATCTGCGCCTTCTCTGCTCGCTGACTCCTCTCTCACCCCAGCGTGTTTATTTTTCCTTTATTATTATTCTATCCTGCTTTTGTATGTTTATTCATGTTATATATTCTCCCTTCCTGGCCTTTCTCACCTTTTTGACTTTCCTGGTTTCTCTTTTTCCATTTTTTTTCTCCTTTTATCTCTACCACCTTCTTGCCTCCCATACTCTCTCTCTCTCTTTCTCTCCCTCTATTTCTCTCTCTCTCTCTCTCTCAGTCTCTCTCTATCTCCCTCTGTCTCTCCTCCTCCCTTACTGCTGTGGAATACTAAATAGAAGCTCACTGATTACTTTTCTTCCCAAAACACATTGGATACAACTACGAGGCCCGATGCCACTGCCTTCAGTGGTTTCTATGGCTACAGCCTTGGCTCTCAGCTTTGTTAAGGAGAACTGAAAGAAGGGAGGGCGAGGAAAATGTGGAGGTGGAATAGGAAGATTATTGTGTTGCGTCATCCTGACAGATAATACAAGATAGATAGATATATTCTAGATATATTCAAGCCTTCAGGCATTTATTGTTAATTTACCATTTACATTGTAATAATGCAATAAACATTGGCTTTTACGTATTTTTTATTTGACCAAAAAACTGTGTATGTTTCGTATAGATGGGGCAAAAGTAAAAACAATGCAACGTTAATGGCCGTGCAATCTCTATTGTACTCTGTCTTTCTCTCTCTCTACATACAACACACTCAACCATCTGTCATAGTCTGACCATCGACAGCAAGGGTCAAAATCATTGGTCGACCATTAAACCATTCATAAATTCCTAACTGTCCTCAGTAGACAATAAAACATACAGCTCTGAGCCCCAAAGTTTGATTATACTTTGTCTGTAGAGCGTTTATATTCTAAGATATAATTCCACCAAGTTTTGTTCATATATACCCACACAGTCCTTACACACAAATCAAAAAGACACATCCATGAATTGCAGACAAAGATCCATCCTAAAAATAATCATCATCTTTTTAACATTTAATTTGAAACCATTTGAGGATTTCACTCTTCTGTGAACAGCTGTTCTAAGGTTCTCTTCTCCCTCATCTTTGCCCTCTGTACAGTGTCACATTCATTCACGTCTCTTTGGCACAGCAGATGGCAGAAAGGATGGGAATAAATGGACAGTCACTATCAATCAATCACACGGATTTATTAGAATATGCCCTTTTGGAAAGGTGACAATTTTCAGAGCAGAAGAAAAAAAAAACAAAACACACTCAGCTGTCTCTTGTATCCTTGAGTTATCTTGAAACTCACTGGAGAGCGTGGCTGAATGACCCTGCACATACAGTATTTTATGAAAGAGGCCATATTTTATTTGTCCTTCCTTTCTGCAAAACAACAAAAGGGATTTTTCTCCCTGCAGTGGTAGGCACACCTTTTATGGACATAGTGTTTTTCAAATATTGCTTTTTTAAATTTTGTATTAAAAGAACTAATAGGAGGCCTATTAAAATGTGTCTGGTCTTGTTGTGCGGCTGTCTCATTAGCCAGATCCCCTGTGAACAGATGGATGAACAAAGTACATTTTTAAAGAAAATAAATAAGAAAAAAAAAAAAAGAAAACCCAGAAAACACTGCAATAACAAGATGCTTTTACAATAAACTTGCCCTGACCTAAAATATCCAAACACCAAACAAAACATGCAGCTGCTCTTTCTGGGTTTCGTTCTGTTACATCCTGTATTTATTAAGTGTTATGCCACCGTAGAGGTTGTTTACATTCAAAACCACTCACTGCAACTCTTAGAGTCATGCCCATGCAGGGTAGGAGCACAAAGGCTCTTCATGCAGCTAGGAGGAGGGAGTCTCGAAAAAAGATAGAAAATATATCGACACATACACCTACCCTGTAGTAGTCAGTGCTGTAGACGTCTCTGGACATGCCAAAGTCCCCGATCTTCACCAGCAGGTTCTCACCCACCAGGCAGTTCCTGTTTTATACACAGGATATAAAAGAATTAGTTTGTCTTCTGTTGGGGTGGGCTGTTAAACCGCTATAAAGCATTTGTCACACCTAAATAAAAATGTTGATGTTAGACTGAAGCTGGTTTGCAGACACGATGCAAATTAGGTGAGTAAAAGTTTATTTTTTATTTATTTATTTTTGTTTTAGGAGGTGGCAGCATTTGTGCATATCCTGAAAATACATAACAAGAATAAATCCCGCCACAGGGAGCTAAGTGGATGCAGCGTATACGACAGAATGGATGGACGGCCGTTATCAGTTCGTAAAAGTGTTGCATCAGGAACAGGCTTGAAATGAACCGGTCAAACAGATGAATGCTTTGGAAGATATGAGCTACTCAACGATGCAACTCTGCCAACTTTGATCTAGCTGAGATAGGTTTAGTGTGAAACAAAAGTGGGTTTGGACCACATTTATAGGACTCTTCTGGCAAATACCGAAATGGCCGATCTCCCCTCCATTGTGTACTTTAGATGGCAACAATGATGGGTTAATTCTAGGGCAAGTTCACATTTGGCTAACGTGGCAACAGTTAGCATCCAGATCTGGTAATGATGAAGCTGACCTCACAAAAAAGTGTACGTGATTGACACACCAAGGTCCCTTAAAACAGGGGTACTACGAGATGGTCTGGATCCCAGTCAACCACCCAAAAACACCCACCTGTTTTCATACATTCCAAAGACATAAGAAATTCATTATAAACCTTGTGGCCAGGTCGCGGTGCACAAAGTGTTGTGATGCCAGGTAGACCATGCCAGAAGCAATCTGCTGGGCGATGTGTAGCATCTGAGACTGGGTCAGCTCCACAGGTCGGGTGGTCTGGCCCTCAGCCATCAGGACAGCATCTGGACCATGAGCCCTGTGTTTTTTTTAAACCATCAAAGAATAAGTCTTGTTAATCACTAGGTTTAAGAGAAATGTACTTATTTTCTTTTCAATACAATTGCTGTCATTTGGGTGACATTTTAAGGTTTTGATAAAAGAGCCAAAAAAAAAAGAGCTGACCTGAGGAACTTGTTGAGGTCTCCGTGTTTCATGTACTCAAAGACCATTATGAGTGGGTCGCTCTCCACACACACGCCATAGAAGGTGACAATGTGTTCATGTTGAAGATTGGTCAGCAGCTCAGCCTCGCGGTGGAAATCTTTTCTGGCATTTTCACTGGCCTCTTTAAGTGTCTGTGGGTGCAAACACACAGGCACACATGCACATACACATCATGTATCAGATAAAAGACATAATGCGATACACACTCTTGCAAAATCACCCATTTTACTTGGATAATGTCTGCCTTGAAACCAAAACAGTGTAAAGGCTGAGTCAATAAAAGGTAATGGGAAAAAAATCAAAACATTTTATATTAACATCAGCTATTATAAAGTACAACACTGTTGTATTACTGGGCCCTTTTGAAAGTAATCATCATCTCATTTCAATGAATCAAATGTGTTGAGCGGCTTATGTAAGAGGCATCTATGCGATGAAAAATGAAAAAAGTCAGTGTCTGTATTAGCAAGAGACAATTGCAGGTAGTGAAATGATCAGGGGCTCACGCCTAATGCAGAAAAAATGTTGTTCTGCTCGTGAATAATTGATTTTCTTCCTACAGTGTATGACATGGATATATGTTTGCTCTATAGCGTGTGCATTTGAGTGCTTCTGTTTGTGTACTGACGGCGAAGAAAGAAGCTCCAGTTGCAAATAAAGGTCTAAAGGACAGGCAGTAGTCACCGGGAAGACTCAGAAAGAAAGAGACGACCCATAACCTTTTCTCCTGAATCTTTTGTCCTGCCAAGATGCCATAAAATAAGACATATGAGTGTAACATATATTTTCACCTCGTTTCCTATCTTGAAACTGAATCTCCATCGTGTGAATAATGGGATGTAACAAGATACCACGGGATAACGAGGTCGGTTATTATAGTAAAGATACTGTATGGATGATGGTGGAAACATGATAGTGGACATGTATGGGAAATATGTGGTGAATATACAGTAGGCCTCACATTGTAATGCAGAATTATAAAGTACTACTTTGTACAAAATGTAATTATATATATATATACTGTATATAAAGTATGTGCATATGACTTTTAAGCCTACCTTAGTCACATAGAAGACAAAGAAAGGACATTAACTGACATTTAAATGACCATTTAAACCAATGTTCCAGCAATATAAGCAGGAAATATAAATGTAGTGTTTTATCTAGTTGAGACAGGTATAATGATAATTATCTACAGTAGTCCAAGGTCCATCTTACTGTGTCAATCCTTGTAACAGGATTTCTTTTTCAATACTGCTTTAAAGTCATGCACATTCCACAGTGCTTGTCATTGATTTTCTTTAGGTGTTTTGAAGGTATTTTTTAAATTGTTATCTTTAAAATGTATGTTTATTTTTTAAATAAAAAAACGTTATATATATTAATTAATTATTAATTTAAATTCCTCATATGTTGAGTTTTCTTTTCTATTTAGATGGTATGCCAAGTTTTACTGTAGGTGAATGGCCTACTGTTTCGAATACTGTATATATATATAAAATATACAGTATATATATACTTTAAGTTTAAAAACTGTTATGAATAATTTTGTTATTAAATAGCAAATAGCATGTATTTGTAATGGCACTGAACTTCTTATTAAACAACAACATAAAGCATGTTCACAGTGACACTGATGAAGTTGTGCTGAAGCAGTGTGAGTCCCTTTCATAACCTGTACAGTGTGATCCTAGTAGAAAGAAAATGTGAGCCTCTGAACTGCATCACTGAACTCAGGCAGCCCACTGCACAAATGGCTGTGTATTGAGCAAAATTTATTAATGTTGAACAAACACAACACAACTGAGACTTTCTGGTGAGTCACAATCTGTCTATATTTTATTCATTATATTTATTTTTTATATTTATATATATATGGATACATTTGTATTTTTTTTCCACCTGTGCACATTCAGCTCCCTGGACAAATAAAATAAATCAAAAACCTCAATCTAGGAGGAACTAATTTACATGAAAAACATTTCCATGGGAAAAGCAGCAGCAGCAGTGAAAGTGAAGGTGCCGGTGATTGATGCCATGCGAGTGGTGGTGTGTGTACACGTGTGTACATATGCAAACATCTAAATGCATTCATTTTAAAGTGTGTTGTGATCGATGAGTGCTCATTATGTAATAAACATTCATAGTAAAACTTGCTTCTCTATTATGAATGACTGGCTGATTGATGCCCAACTCTTAAAAAGCCAGGGCCATTAAGCCCTATTAGTGTGTGCAGGTTATTGTAATGTGTGCAGGAGCGCGTTTCGGCAGCACACGTGTAACATACTGTTAGTTCAGTATGCGTAGAAGAACTGTAATCATACAGGAAACAAGACAGTGACACCCACTTTGAAAACTACTTACTTGGCATATCGTATTCTATCATATAGTATCATACATCACCTGGTTGAGGAGCTTTTCTGTCTCTGAGCTGTGTCACATTTATTTTAGTGTAACTAACTTCTTGATAATTTTCATGCCAGCTATCTTGGCATTGAATAATTATATTTAAATAAATAAATACATGACAATTTAAAACAAATTAGTTAAAATCAATCAGTCTTAAAAAACTAGAAAGACATAATTTATAATGAAATGTTTCACATTTTCTTTGATTTGTGCAACAACAAGGACAACGCAACGGGAGGGCTGTAGTTAGGGCTGCCAAACAGAGGATGGCAGAGGGAGTGTGTGCAGCACACTTACTAAGCATGCAGTGCATTAGCTAATTAAAAAACAAGAGATGAATTGAGACTACAATCAATGACTTGACACTAACAACAAGATCATTCATCGGCGTCATGCACATGTACAGCTGTGCCTACGCTGTAGGCAGTTAAAGTTCTGTGCTGATTATATGACATTTAGTCTGGGTATGCACAAAGTGAGCACACATTTAAACTTGTGCCATGACTAGAACTCTGCACCCTCAAGTTTTTTCAGATGCATATTTTACAGACTGAGCCGAGGCTGTGCTGGCACCATAATCATTGGCAGTAAGCAGTTTAGAGCTGAGCCAAAAGAGATAGAGTACAGGAAGTGAGAAATGGAGAAGCAGGTGTAGGATTTGGGAGAAGAAATTTGCCAAGAAAAAACTGGGGAAAATGCAAGATGTTGGCGAGGGACTTAGAGGTGAGACACTGAAGACAGGAAGTGTGTGACATGGGACAGCAGTAAGGGGCTTTCTCCCAGGTCATGTATTGTTAATGAGAGGTTCTGTGCCAATCAGATCCAGTTTCATTAGGGATCAGCCAGAGTGAGCCTTACTGATGGAGAAACGGGTGGATGGATAGATGTGATGGAGAAATTGTTTATATCGGAAAACCATTCAACTGACCCTCAGATGACAGTGGTTGGTGTGTAATTTCACCTTTAGCTTAGGCAGTGGTGGCCTAGTGGTAAAGGAAGCGGACTTCGGTCCGGAAGGCCCCAGGTTCGAATCCACCAACTGCCAGGTTGCCACTGAGATGCACTGAGCATGGCATCGTCCTCAAGCACTGCTCCCTGGGCGCCGACCATGGCTGCCCACTGTTCACTTGGTGATGGGTTAAATGCAGAGGTTAAATTTCATTGTGCATGGTGTGCTGTGCTGTGCTATGTCACAAATGACAAATAAAGATAAGTTTAAGTTTAAGTTATAGACCCAAAACGTTTTGAAGGAGTTACTTTTGTAGCAACAACAGCGGGAATAGAAGTAAAAAAGTGAATTATTTGTCATTGTGACACAGCACACCACTGCACACACAACGAAATTTGACCTCTGTTTTTAACCCATCACCAAAGTGAACAGTGAACAACTTATAAGCACCTGGGGAGCAGTGTGTGTGGTTAATGCCATGCTCAGGGCACCTCAGTGGTAAGTGTGGTGGACTCAAACCAAGAGCCTTCCAGACCCAAGTCTGCTTCCAACCACTTAGCCACCTAAAAGGAGATTGCAAGAGTAGACACTGTCCAGGTGTCACATGAAGGACTTGAAAAGGTCATGTGTACATTTTAGAAACATGAGATCAACATTTCAAAAATATCGTTGGGCATCATATTACAGCTAGAAAGGCAATCATTTCACCTTGCATTTCCTAATGTACTTTATTTTGTTCCTTCCATGGGGCCAGGAATTGTCCAGATATCTGCTTTTGAAACAAGACTCTTCATAAATTGGAGAAGTTTCTTTGAAACAGAGACAGGATGGTATTTTTTTTCTTATCACAAAGACAATCTGTCCTTCAAGCAGTGAGTGGCCTCTTCTTCATGACACAAAAGGAAAATATTCTGTTTTGTCTTTTCTGTACACTCAGTCAGGATTATCAGACCTAAATCACAACATTATCTAATAAGAAGAAAGCCTTTGCTACAAACATGGGGTAAAGTCTCACATTTCACCTCTGTTGGTGACAAAACTCCTCCAGTTTTGGAATCTTAATAAAACTACCATGTGTAATGCTTACACAAACCACTAGGGGCAGTGGGCCACCTTTTCAAAATCCCTGCTTTTTATTTTAAGACAAACACATAACACACAGAGCATACACGACAGCAGTGGCGGTTGGTGTGAGGAAGCCGCATATCAAGATAGGAGATGTGTAAACGAAAAGCAATAAAAGTATTATAGTACCGTACATGCCCTTGCATAAACAGATTTCACAACATGCACAGTATAGGGATCACATGTGGATCAGTGCGCAGCTATGGCAGAAGAATAGGAATAGTACCCTGAAAGCAGTATTAGTCAGGTATGGAACAGTAGAAAGGGCGCCAGTTAACACCGGGGTGCCCCCTATGGATTAAGTCTCTAATATCTTCTGGAAAGTGGTCCAGAAAAGGTCCCCACAGCTTCTTAAAATGCCCTTCATTCCTCTTTAAAACTGAACACAGGTGCTCCATTGGTAGAATGTTGAATATTTCTCCATACCACAGTTTAGCAGTGGGAGGTCTGGGTTTGATCCACTGAAAAAGAATACATCTCCTGGCTAACCAAAGGAGCTTATACAGGAGTTTTTGCTGAAGCAATCACTCTTTCAAAAGTCCTAATAGAAACAAACCAGGATTTATTGGTATGTTCTTACCAAAAATTAAATCAATTTCCTTAGAGACTTTTCCCCAAAATGCTGATATTGAGGGGCAGTGCCAGAATCAATGCACGTAAGAGCTGACTTCCTGCTATCCCAGCTTTTTTTGTATTCAAAAGTAACTGGTCGGTACAAAACAATAATACAATACTCAATTTATGATCTCATATTTTATTTTTGGATTTGCAAATTTGACTAATAAAACAGATGCAGCAAACAAAACTGACCTGGATGAATATTTTTTTGCAAATGGCATGATCTTACACAAACACAAGCCTTGTTTTGTTTTTGTTTGTTTTTTTTAATTTGGAGATTAAAACTATTGATTACCTTTACAGCCACCAGTATCTTCTCTTGGTCAGGTGAGAGGTTGTAACACTCAGCCAGAAAGACTTTTCCAAAGGCTCCCTCTCCCAGCTCCCTCTTTAGAACAATGTTGTGTCTCTTTATGTGCTGGACGACTGTAAAGCAAAAAAAAGGTAAAATAATTAGTTCAACATGTTTCTGGGTGATACTTCATGGAGTACTTTTGTACCAGTAAAATCTAGGTTATAATACTAATAGTTATAATTCACTTGATTGTACAATGCTGTACAAAATAACACACAATAATCAACATAATGTGAAAAAAACAAAAACATTAAGAGCAGCAGAACAGATGGGTTTTATTTTATTTTTTCCTGAAAGCAGGATGTGCTGAATAGTTTCGACAGGTTTAAGGAGGTAATAACTTTGGTGCTTTGCTTGATCAGGTGTGGTGAAGGTGGATCTTTGGATCAGAAGAGCCCAGGAAGCTGTGTGTGTGGATGTGGAGGTCAGAGAGATATAAAGGGCCCTGATTATGTAGGGATTTGTGTTGGAGGAGTAGGAAGATTAAATTGGATGTGCTGAAAGCCAGTTGTATTTTAGGAGAACAGAAGTGATGTGGTTGCGAGAGGAGGAGCTGGTGTGACCTACAGCAGGGCTTTGGACACATTAAAGTTTATGGTGGAGTTTGTTGGAGAGCTGATGCAGATTTGGAGTTTGGATGTGATAAAAGGTGAAATGAGAGTTTCTGTAGCTGAGAGGCAGAGTGAGTGAGGGCTGAAGATGAGCAATGTGCCCTCAGTGAATGTGAACAGTTTTGGTGATGGACTCAAAGATGGAGGCAGAATTTAGGCTATTTTAATATATTGTTATTTTTATTTATTATTTATTTTCTCAATCTGCTATCAAGACTTAACCAAAATAAACTGTAACAAAGTAGATTTGATCTCACTTTAAAATGTTCAAATGTGGAAATAACACCAGATAAGATAAGAGGTTATATTTAAATTTGGTGAATATACAAGACCAGGCATGGAAAAACTAGGGCTTGGGGGCCAGATGCAGCCTGCTTGGCTTTTTAATCCGGTCCGCTAAACTTATCCAAACTATGTTATTAATTTATATTATCATTATCTTCTTTTTCTTTCGGCTTTGTCCCTTTTTTTTCAGGGGTTGCCACAGCAAATCATTGATTTCCATCTGACTCTGACTCCAACTATCTGCATGTCCTCCCTCACTGCATCCATATGTCTCCTCTTTGGCCTTCCTGTTTTTCTCCTACCTGATAGCTCCATCTCTAACATTCTTCTACCAATGTATCCACTGTCCCTCCTCTGCACATGTCCAAACCATCTCAATCTGGCTTCTCTAGCTTTTTCTCCAAACCTTCCTGTCTGTGTTGTCCCTCTAATGACCTCATTCCTGACCCTGTCCATTCTTGTCACTCCTAAAGAGAATCTTAGCATCTTTAACTCTGCCACCTCCAGCTCCTCCTCCTGTCTTCTGCCTATTGCTACTGTCTCTAAACCATACATCATGGCTGGTCTCACCACTGTCCTGTAAACCT